CGGACATCTAGCCTCAGTGTCTACGTACACGGTAACCGGCAACCGGGCACGTAGTCTCAGTGTCACGTGCGCGGTAACCGGGCAGTTAAGAATTCCAAGTTCAGTTTTTGTCATCCGGTGTTGCCTTCAACTTCAGCCCTCCCCCGACTGTACATTTATTTTTTTTAAATCAATAATTGTCCCATTCCAGAGCCCTATACTTCGTAGCGCACAGACTTTGAATGAATTTTGGTGACCCAACCGGTACTCACAATGTAATGCGAAAGCACAGGTTCACTGACTGGTAACGATGGTGAGTCCGACAAGATGCGTGTATAACTTTCTTTTTTTAATTTCAACAAGTGACAGCACAGGACAAATATTGGTTAATCTTCATTCCGGTGGTATACCGTGTACGTAGATACTGAGACTAGGTGCCCGTGACCGTGTATGTAGACGCATGCATCATGTACGAACAATAATAATATTCACGCGCGCGCACTCACACACTCACGTACACCTCACACACGCATACACCTACTTTCTTATCACACGCACACGCTTACACACAATAGATCTAGATCTAGGCCTAGCCTATGTCTCAGTTTGTGTTGTACATGATGCATTCCGGCCTGAATGTCCGGTTATAGCTTTTAGAGTACGCTCAGTAGGCTTGAGCTGGGCCGGTACCATGATTCACGTAGGCTTATCGGCTCTGTATTCCCACCATTTCGTATTTAAAATTCTGTTAAAATTAAAGCGTTGATGTATTTTTGCCTAAAATTGCAAGAAATTGCGAAAATTGCAAAAAATTGCGGGTTTATTGCGAAACTCGACGAAAAACGCGGCTGCAAGACCGCGATTTCCTGGAGGGCCAGTATTGGGCTCTTCTTCACCCTGTACAGAAGACTTGAGTTCGATTCCTGAGTGGGGAGAATTTTTATCCAGTATCTCTGTCTTTCTGGTGGAAGGTTGTATTTCTCTCAGCCTGGATTGGCCCTAAAGGCAGGGTGGAAGCCTGCTTCCTGATTGGTCGAAATAGTATTGATAGTTGGGGCATCACAAAAACTTCTCAAATTACATTTTTATGATGTAACAGGCACAGTATAGTCCACAAACACTGTTGATATTGTTACTACAGACAAAGTATCATTCTGCTCCCTGGTACAAAGTACAACAGCAGCATGTCATTCCAAAGAAGAGAATGTTCCTCCTTTTTTGTGGGGGGGTAAGTGTTTTACAGCGCTCACAACTGCATAAGGTCCTAAAGATTAAACTTTTCCAGTAGGTAGGAATTGAATTTAGCCCGGGTGGCGGCCAAAGCCTGCTCTTATCGATTTTAGACCACGAAGGGATCTTTAACGTCCGTAACTTACACACGGGTCCTCCGAGATTTTTTATGCCCTTGTCCGAGAAGGCTAGGTGTAGGTCTTTCCTACCAGAAGATCAGGGGTGTGGCTGGAAGACAGCAGTAAGAAGGAGCCAAGGAGTAGCAGTAGAAAGGCGGCAGAAAGAGTCAAGAGCCCAGAGGAGGTGGCTGCAGAAAGAGGAGATGAAAGCAGACGACAGAACATTGCTAGAAAGCAGGAAAGGAGAAAGAAGGAGCAAACCACATCAGAGCAACCACCAACCACCAAGGACGAAAATTTAGACAGACAGAAAGAAAGGTTGAGTCTATCAGTGACCTTTTCTGATTGAGTAAGGAGATGCACATCAACACAATAACAACAGTCATATAGAGCAGGAAGAAAGACGGAAACAAAAGAGGGGGGGAAAAAGAAGTAAGACGAACCTGTGACACCCTCCAACAACCCACTGCAATAGTTATTTTTTTAACCCTATCTGTATGTCGTGTTTTACTATCGTATCCATATATGACATTGGGAACTCTGTGCCACCATTTTTCAAAGAGGAAATTTACTCGTTATTCCGATCCGCACGCTTTCCATAGCAGTCTGTCAAAATGATTTTTGAGAATTACTGAAAGTTCCAAAGAGATCTTTTTCTAAGAAGTATTCTAAAATGAGAAGAATACAACCCTGGGGGTACAAAATGACCCCAGGGCGTACGGATAGGGTTAAACATAAATGGACACACTTCGACAGACGCCTCCCTCATTGTCTCAATTTTGTTTTATTATTTCACATTACCTAAAAAAACACAATGATTTACAAAGAGATTCTCGCACAAATGCAATCCCCCAATCAAACACAGACACTAGCATACTTTATGGTGCATAATGAAGACACCATAACATTCTATTTTAGTTTTAAAAACAAACCACAAACTCAATGCACACATACAGCTGGAAAAAATTTCATTTAAACACTCTTCAGCCATTTCACACACACATATATATAAGCATACACACACACACACACACGAATACACACAAACAAAACTGGGGATAAAGCAAAGGCACTCATTCAAGACATACAAAAATGGATGCATATATATGCCACGATCTTCTTCACAATAATGACTGAAAAAGTAACATATCAAGGGTGTTATTCTCTAACTGTATAACTGGTTCCTTGACAATTTTTCAAAAGGGAAAAAAAAAACCCCCTCAAAAAAATTCGTCTTCGTATCAAAATGAGGAGAGAAGACACAAAAGTCAGCCCATCATAATTTTATACTGTAGTACAGTATTGTGCATTATACTGATTCTTTACTGAGAACCCACAGAATGATAGACACATCGTATCTGCACTTGTTTTGTGTCAAAAATAAAATGTATACCTACTTTGTCCAGTAAGACTGTTAGAGCATAACGTCATTGATTTTGACATATGAAGAATACAAAAAAAAAAGGAAAAAAAACCCCCATCAAAACCCCCCCCCCCCCCCTCCCCCAAAAAGAAAAGAAAAAAAAAAAAGAATCAAAGATTAGAGAAAAAGAACCCAAAGAAACAACCCAGAGTGCTATTCCCCAGAATCTTCCACCACCTCCGGACTGCTTGCGTCTCCATCCTCAGCGTTCACCGTGATCTGAAAATCCTGGTCGTCCCCCATCGCAGCCGCAGAGGAGTTGTTCTTCTCTGCAGCCTCGTCTTTCTCCTCCTCCTCCTCCTCACCTCCGCTTTCTTCAGGTACAGGAGCAGGCTTCTCCTTCTTTTGGCTTTTCTTCTCGCTCTTTTCTTGACGGAACGCTGAAAAGTCCAAAAATCTTCGTTCACTTTTTAATAGAGGCACATCCAAACTATACTAAAGTAATTGGTGTAGTACAAGGGAAAAGTAAGTTAGACAGACAGAATGCGGCTTTGTCGGTTTGAGCAAACAGAAGCACATTAACATACTAACAGTCACTCAGCGCAGGAATAAATGTGTAAGACAGACAGAAAAGAAGAAATACCTATCACTAGAGGCGCTGCACAACCCCCCTCCAAAAGGAAATAAGAACAGCAATTACTGTGACCTGCTACATAAGTGAAAAAGTGGAGAAAAACAAAAACAGCTTGTGTAGAAGAGAAGAACACTGACAGAATAATGGTCCGTTTTTTAGTGCTGGGAAATACCAAAACAGACAGATGTAAAAAAAACCCACAAAAAAAACAGAAGGAAAATAAAGAGGTACAACATATTAGTGACACTCTCCAATCAAACATTAAGGTAGCAACAAGTCTCCATATTTATTTGATATAGGCCTACTTGGAATGAAAGTGAAAGTACAACAAAAAATGTATGAAGAAAAGAAGTAAACCCCACAAACAACCCACAGATAAGGAAGGGGGGGGGTTGTTGTGCCACAAATAGAAAGATAAGATAGGAAAGGCAAGGCAAGGTGGTAGGAGGAAGGAAAGGAAGAATGTTGCCCTCTGCATTCTCCACAAGCCCTCACCTCAAGTAATTAAATTCCTGCATGTGGTTGAATGATGTATCTGATGTGAATGTACATTTTGTCAGCTGTACTTCTCTTTTCATACTGAATTTTAACGAGAGTAATATATATAATTTACATTTTTTATGTATACCTGCATGTGTTTTTACAGTCCTGTACAGCCAAGAAATAAAAAATTTCCCTCTGACATAATAAAGTATTATCTTATCTTATCTTATCTCACCTTCCTGACACTGCTGCAAAGGTTCAATGAACTGTTCAAACTCCATGTCCTCCATTGCCGACAGAACATCTTGAGCGTTGATCGTTTTCCTTTTGCTCTTCAGAGCAAAGTTATTGGAGCTGACGACAAAGATATAATAATAACAATAAACAGCATTTGTATAGCGCATGCCCACACTCAAAAGCAAGCTCTATGCGCCTTCCACTATATTATTACCCCAGCAGATCATAGATCACTCAAACATTCTCAGCTTCCCGGGAAGCATATATATAATAGAGAAATAAGGGCTGGTGTTCACAAGTGAAAAGGCCATATGTGATGCATTGTGGTGAAATCAGGTGCTCGTCAATGAAATTAAAGAAAAAGGCATTTTCCCATCGGTCTGGCAATTTTTATCAAAATTTTGTTTTTTGGCTAACACCTTTTATGTTCATATGAAAATACATTTCCATGTGAATTTTAGTGAAACATCTTGTTTAAAGCCTCAAAGTATGTAATATTCAGTTTTCAAGGACTCTTAAGCTATTGAAGTTACCAAACTTTGGTGGCCATTTTCTCATTAATTTAACCACTGAAAACAGGCTACCTCACCTTCTTCAACCCGAATATCTCGACTTATATATATTGAAGCTAGATGGATATTTTTTTCATTGAAAGCAAGGCAAATAAAAAAGCTTTCAGATGATACCAATAACTCCACATGCCCAAAAATTGACGAGAGCCTGATTCCACCTCGTCGAGACACATACTAAAATATACAATCCAACATTGCAATTTTCTTGAATGTCTCAATCTGTGTTACAAAAAAGATTTTTTAAGAATTACAGTGTTGCACGCACATAGTGAAACATGATAGCCGCGATAGCGAACATGTTTTCAGGTCCCAAATTTTTATCTTTTTTTATGTAAATACTTTAGATTTTAAAAATGCACACATAGCACATTCAAATGTACTGAAAAGTCAGAAAAGATGTTTCCACCCCACCAATTTCTCGATGTGCATGCTTGACTGTTATTAACCCTATCGGTACCTCATGTTTTGCTATCGTATCCATACGACGTGGGAACTCTGTGCCACCACTTTCAAAAGAGGAAATTTACTTGTTAATCTGACCCGTACACTTTGCATAGCAGTCTGTCAAACGTTTTTTTGAGAAATACTGAAAGTTTCAAAGAGATCTTTGTACTAGAAGTATTCTAAAATGTGAAGAATACAACCCCAGGGGTACAAAATAACCCCAGGGCGTACGGATAGGCTTAACAAATCTCATACAATTAAAAGTATCAGTATCACTAAGAGAGAACAATTGAGTATACAGTGACTTATAGGTACATGTTAATTTTTCCCCACAGTAGTGTACTCTATAATACCCCACGATATCCAAGAAAAAAAGCATTACACACCACTATTAACTCTTTATTTCCGTGGGGGGTAAACTTACTATGCCGAGGCCCCTTCTTGGTACTAAATCTAAAATGGAAGAAAATGTCACTAAATTGGTCATTACATCAAAATAAGTGAGTCCGTTTCGATAGCTCTTCATCTAATGAATGAAATCCCATTAAAAGAGACCTGTTTTCAGCAATTGCCTAAAAGTACTTTGACGTCTAAGTCGTCAAAGAGGAATGTACCTGAGCCGCAGGGAGCAGCTCGCCGGAGATAAAGAGTTAACGATTGTTCTTACTGACTTTAGCAAAAGGCTAGCTTTCACTTCCACAGACAAAATATTTCATAAGTGAGGCATGTATCTACACGACACAGTACCCATCCAATACAATGATGTGTCCCGCACGCTCATATGACCTTATGCAGTTATGAGCGCCGTAAAACACTTACAAAAATAAAAAACAATACAACTCAGTATTTAGGAAACAAAATGAAAGAGAACCCAACTACATATAAAAAAAGGAACCAATCACTCATCAAAGTCTCAAATCAAGGTACCAACTACACCTTTAAAGCCAGAACATCAGAGCTGAAGGCCACATAGAATTAGAATAACTGAAAAGGCTTATATTAGAGAAAAAAACCCCAACACTTTTAGACTCCAAATAATAGCTCTAGAAAAGAATGTTATGTAAAGAACGTTCACAATGCCACAGTTATTCTTTTTTTCCAATAACAACCACACCAATAAGGCCTTTCTCCTCATCAAAAAAAAAAAATCCATTATTAAAAATTAAAACACACACAATAAGTAGGATGCTTTGATCATTTGAAAACAAAAGACAACATATGCTTTAAATAAGTTTTCCTAAGACTTTAAACTCACTCACACTAAACAAAGCCAACATAATCTTCAAAGAGGTGAAGCAAAGACAATTCAAAAACAATTTGTCGTTTCAATCTTACCAGGAAGTGGCGTAAAGCACAAAAACACTTGCCGCTTTCGAGATAGCAAGCCTCGCCTCTTTTGATACTGCCACACCGTCTGGTATCTGTAAAAAAAATGCAAGGCATCGTGGTGAAGTCAGGCACTCGTCAAAATAACAAAATTGGAGAAACAGGCATTTTCCTAGCAGTTTCGCAATTTTAATCAAATTTTGGGTTTTTTGTTCAACACTTTGATGTCCAAATAAAAACACATTTCCATGTGAATTATATTGAAAAACGTTGATTAGAAGCTCAAAATATGCAATTTCTTAGTTTTCAAAGACTCTTTAGCTATTGAAATTACCAAACTTTGGCACCCATTTTCTTGCTATTTTTACATCTGAAACCAAGTGAACTTACCTCTTTACCTCTTTCAATTACAACAAATATCTTCACTTCTGCTTAAGATAGATGGGTATTTTTTTTCATCAAAAGCAAGATAAATGAAAAAGCTATAAGATTATACCAATAGCTCCATATATATGCACAAAAATTGATGAGCGCCTGATTCCACTGTGCCGTGACAAAAACACTCAACAGTCAATCAATGTCTAATCGATTATACTCTTTCTTGACAGCGTTCAATGACATGACAAGAAATGAAGAAATGAAAACTTGGAAAGGAAAATGTATCTTTGTGATAATATAAACACACAAAAGAACAAAATTTCTCCACTGACAATGCTGAAATTGGGTGGGGAAGATGGAGACATCAGTCAATCGGTAAGTAATGATATATTTAGCAGGAGAAAATAAATAGAAACGGATTAAAAGTTTTAAAAAGTTACAAGAAGATATCATGTTAACTCTAAAAAGCATTCTTTACACAAACTCAAAGTGAAGTCATATAAAGTATGAAACTTCACAATTAGAGAAGGCTTGGAAACAGAATACAACTTCGGCTCTATCCGCAGAAAAAACAATTATTTCGAAAGAAAAATATGGACAGAACATATATAGAGTTAAAATATGGTTACTCTTCGGTTAACAATTTTCAAAACAACCTGAAAGGTCAATACAGAGGGGCTCTTTCTCAAAGGTATTCAATGAACAACTATTGACGAAGAAAAATAAAAATTTAGAAAAAGGACAAATGAATGCAAAGGATCAAGCTGTTTCTGAACTTGTTGGCACTGAGACAGGTTCATGTCTAGTAATTTACTGTAATTCTAGGGAGACACTGCCATATCTCTCCTTACCTTGTGTAAACGGTAACACTTAAATTATGATCGTTAGTACAGTTTTTTTCACAACAAAAAAATGGTGTGCTGTAAAAAAAAACGAAGTGTATACAGACCCGATAAATGGGAACAAAGTCACGAAGTATACAGACCCGGTAGGGGAACTCTTTTTTTATTTCGGATAGTTTCAGCGCCCAGACCCGTACTGTGTGTGTGTGCGAGTGTGTGTGTGTGTGTGTGTATGAGTGTGAGAGAGAGAGAGAGAGAGAGAGAGAGAGAGAGAGAGAGAGAGAGAGAGAGAGAGAGAGAGAGAGAGAGGGGGGGGGGGTAACTGCTTGATTGATATTATGACATTGTTCTTTTCTTCAAATTGTGTTTCCTATAACTAAAAAAAACAGAGGAAAAAAGATCGTTCATCGAAAAGACATCCGCAATCTTCATTTAGATCTAGGCTAACCTCGAAACTAGATCAATGATTTATGTAAATTGTCTGTCTAGATCTAGACCTAGGCCATAGATCTTGAAGAACCTAGGTCTACCCTGAGCCAAGAGGGCGCTGAAACTTTCCGAAATCACAAAAGAGTTCCCCTACCGGGTCTGTATAACTTTGTGACTTTGTTCCCGGTTACCGGGTCTACTATATACACTCCCGTAAAAAAAAAAGATGGAATCACAGGCACATTAAAGTACAAATCCATTTTCTGCCAAGAATAGATAAAAATTCTTGAATAAGTGGAAAAAAACAAAACAATCCCAATCTCTAGAATCCATCTATTTTAGAAACCTTACTGCATCTTTGATGATCCTTGTGACTACAGCATTTGGTAAGTTCAAGTCCTCTGGTCTCTCTGCCATGCTGGAGAAAAACAAGAGACAAAATGTTCAGCTGATTCCTTGTGGCTAGCAACAGATTTTGTGCAAAAAAACTATTTTTTTACTTTTTGGTCATAAAACATGGGTCTTAAGTCATATTTAAAAAAGGAGGAACTTCCCACATGATCACGACAATAGACCATTTTCGCAAGACACCCATGATTCATTATTATATTATAAGGTACCAGGACTCCGAAATTATGCAATATTATGCATTAAACCTGACGTGCTACTGACTGAAGTGTCTTTAGTCTTTAGTTTAGGGAGTGTCTCCACCTACAAGGTAACTAGCAGTGCCTACCGAGCGCGTTTTGTTCTGCCGATTTTTGGTCCCCGCAGCGGGGGTGTTTCGTGGGACGCACTAACGCAAAGGTTGTTGTCCAGGGTTGGTGATTTTTTTTATTTTTTAAATAAAAATTTTACAAATCGATTTTTTTAATTATCAGATTAAAATTTTAAAAAAAAATTTGGTGGCTAAAGGTATGTTGTTTTTGTGCAAATTGCATTGTTTTTATTTTTACTAATGATTAATTTAAGCAACTGCAAAAGAAAGCCTTAATCTGCTATATCAGTGAATTATGGCTACAGACAAAAAAATGAAGAAAATGTCAGTCTAAAAGGAAGGGGGGGGGGGGGTAATTATGCATAGATAAACTTGCATTTGATTACAGTGTGTGTGTGTGTGTGTGTGTGTGTGTGTGTGTCTGCGCGTGCTTGCCTAAAAAGAAAAAGAAAATGCTAATTTCAATTATGAAAAAAAAAAGTAAATTGAATACTGTATTATTTTACAGTGACAGGGGGGAAAGCAGACTTTTAAGCTGCATGATTATATTAGTCTAGTAAACCTTATATCTGTTTTATAAAACCAAGGAAATGAATTCTGAATGTTTAAAGATGTAAAAACAGAATACATTTAAAAAAGTGATTTAAATCACTGAGTTTTATTTTTAAAATCAAGTTGATTTTAATTAAAAAAATCAACTGATTTAAATCGACCTGATTTAAATGAACCCAACCCTGATTTCAATTATGAAAAAAAAGTAAATTGAATACTGTATTATTTTACTGTGACAGGGGGGGGGGGGGGAGGAAGCAGACTTTTAAGCATGATTTATTAGTCTTCTAAACCTTTTATATCTGTTTAATAAAACCAAGGAAAGGAATTTTGAATGTTTAAATATGTAAAAACTGAATACATTTTTTAAAAAGTGATTTAAATCATTGATTTTTATTTTAAAAATCAAGTTGATTAAATTTTAAAAATCCACTGATTTAAATCAACCAAGCTCTGATTTTAATTATGGAAAAAAAAGTAATTGAATACTGTATTATTTTACAGTGACAGGGGGGAAAGCAGACTTTAAGCATGATTGTATTAGTCTACTAAACCTTATATATCTATTTAATAAACCCAAGGAAAGAAATTCTGAATGTTTAAATATGTAAAAACTGAATACATTTTTTAAAAAGTTATTTAAATCACTGATTTTTATCAATCAAGTTGATTAAAATTTTTTTTAAACCCAGCTCTGATTTCAATTTATGGAAAAAAAAGTAAATTGAATACCCGGTACTGTATTATTTTACAGAAAGCAGACTTTTAAGCATGTTATAAATTAGTCTGCTAAACCTTATATCTGTTTATGAAACCAAAGAAAGGAATTCTGAATGTTGAAATCGGTAAAAACTGAATAAAAATACATTTTTTAAAAAGTGATTTAATACACTGATTTTTATTTATTTAAAAAATCAAGTTGATTTAAATTTAAAAAATCAACTGTTTTAAATCGACCTGATTTAAATCAACCCAACCCTGTTGTTGTCTTCAACTCGCTCTCACGCCGCTTCTCGTGAATGGATTGAATGAAACTTGGCAGCCAATCAGAAAAGAGGTCAATCTCATAGTATGCAGTTTGACAAACTTGTACCCATCCAAGAAGTAGTAGAAAACGTTTGCGAAAGTGGTTGATGTGGTGCGCTTTGAAGAGTGTTTTCAAGAAAAATAAACACCGGCACTAACTGGGCACCAAGTCTCAGTATCTAGAATCTAATCTAGATCTAGATCTAAGTCTAGATCTAGTCTAGGTACCAGGGGTGAAAAGCAATGCCTTGCTGCGCTGGTTAGTAGACTCTACTTATGGAAGTGCTATTCTCACCCGGGGTGAGAATAAAAATACGATCTAGATCTAGATCTAGATCTAGATCTCTACCTCTCACCCCGGGTGAGTAGTAATAGATCTAGAATCTAGACTAGATCTAGATATCTAGATCTAGAATCTAGAACGTTTGTTCACAGCACAGAATTCTATAATTCTGTTATCACAGTGTAGAATTCTGTGGTTCAGGGTGAACGCTTCACTGGTTGGCTGAGGCTATAACGGTGAACGCCCACCGGGTGAGAATAGCCACAAGACTCGCCTGCGCTATTATCACCCGGGCCCGGGGTGAGAATAGAAGAGGTGGCCTCTAGATTACTTATAGATCTAGTGGGGTCACTTTACTAAGTGTATGATACTTGTCACTCATTGAACTGTAGGTGTAGGCCTATGATATCTAGATCTATCTAGATCTAGATCTAAGACTAAATAGACAACAACATTAATGATTGTTGTTGAGATTGGTCATTGAGTTGACGAATTGTCATGGTTATAATATTATTATGGTATGGCGTAGCCAAGCTAAACTGGGGCTCTTTTTTGTCTCTTAATAATAGGGTGGACTAAGCGAGATTTCTATAGGGCTTTTAAGAAATCCTACCTCACACACTTGTCAGGTAGATAATGTCGAACAACACTAAGACCTTTATAATCAAAAAGAATCTGCAAGTCGAAAAAAAGTTTAGGCCAAGAGGCACAAAAAAACAAACGAAGTGATGCACATTCACAAAATAAATGCGCGTACAAAGCAGTAGTCACCAACAGTCAAAAACCAAACATGAGGCTACCAGATTTCATGAGGCGTTGCGTGTCAATTGTATTGTATTGTTAGATAATAAATACATTTAGTATTGAAAAGTAGGTTATCTGACTTAAACAATATATTAATCAAAAATCATATTGTTTACCTAGCATCTCCCAAATATATCATGTCAATGTTGTAAAATCATTGCTTTATTAGTATATATAGATGAAAAAAGTAATGAAATGAGAGTAGACCAAGCGGCATTCTGTGCATTTACGGCTGACAAAATTTTGAGATGGCGCGGAATTTAATGCAAAACAGAAACTATCTAGGAGGCACGAGACAAAGCTAAAAAACAAACAACCACACAGTGTGTGGTTGTTTTGTTTTTTTATAGCTTTCACACAGTCTGAAAACTGAGAACCTCGGTCGATCGTACTTAAAAGGGGGTAACTCTATGATCGTACCCTAAAATTTCAAGAAAAGCGCTGCAAACAGTGGGTCTATTCGTGAAATTATTGTTCTGATCGAAAAGCTTACGAGTGTTACTGTCAGATCGGATCATTATATTAATATGGTGAAACATATGTCAGATATGTTCTATTTTGTAATAATAATAATAATAATAATAATAATAATAAAAATGATCATTATGATATTAATAATACATGTAGTAATAATATAATAATAAGCTCTAAATGTATATGTAATTGTAAAGCAAAAGTCAACATCTTGATTTTGATTTTTTGTTAAATTTGGCGATTGCGATATGAGACAATAAGGCTAGAACGTGTAATCTACTTATACCCTCACTCACACACACACACACACACACACACACACACACACACACACACACACACACACACTTAGGCAAATGCACACTCGCGTTCACAATAAAATAAACTGAGAAAAGGGGAGCGAAGAAGTGTCTTGGGATTGGGAAAAAGGAAACTTTTATTTTTCTTACTTATGGGGGAGCTGGCCAGGGTACGTATACTTGTAAGCTTTGTTTGTTTTTGGTTTTTGCTGGTTTGTTCGGGATGGGTTGTTTTTTTAAATATCTTTGTTTTGTTTTGTAATTAATTGTAGTTTGTTATTGTTATTTTGTGTAGTTTTATCATTATTATTATTTGTTGTTGTTGCTGTTGTTGTTTTTGTTTGTTTGTTGTTGTTTTTTTTGGGGGGTACACTTCGTTAGCTCAACTGGCACCATATGCAGGACCATGTGAAACGGAGTTGATATTGCCCTAGTTCAAATCCCATACTGGATGTTCTTGCTGAACTCCGGCCTACGTCACAGCTCAACAACGACACTTTTTAGTGGCCAAACTTTTTACAAGAAATAAATTGTATAGCCAACTCATTATGATTTTTGCACTAAATGTTCTCAAAATATGCGTTCAATAAAGATGGTGTAACAAAATTTTTTTAAAGGATTGACTTGCTTATTAATAGCAATATTAATTCAGATGTAAACTAGATCTGTATCAGGGGCGGCTGGTCCATAGAGCACGGTCGTGCACTGCGGCCCAAAAGTTTTAGCGCACAACACCCTCAAAGTGACA